AATCATTATAACCTTGAATGTAGTACTTGCTAATAAGAAGTTAAGTTGCTAAGACATGTACTCAAAATACTAGAACATTCCTCTAAACTTGTAAAGCTAAGAGATTAAAACATGCTTTAATTCTAGTCTAATTTAATACTATTAACTCTCTCGCCTTCAGTTCTACTTGATTATTTTTTTCTACTTGTGTGTAAGATATATTTAATTGGAACATAAAGTTGAACTCCCTGAGTCACTCCATTGTTTCAGTAAATGCTTTTTCTTTTTGACTGTGAATTCTTAAAAAGAGAAATAAAGAAATGATCGACTCGTTGACGATTCATTCATCATTTAAGATGTAATTATTGAATATATTTTTGATAGAGACAGCGAGATTGAAAATATCAATGTAACCCTGGAAACAGAAAAGAAAAACAAATCTTATTGTAGAATGATGTTTTAGGTTTATCAGTAATTTAAAGAAATGTTATTTTATGAAGCCAAGCTTCAAAAGAAACATCCACCTTGCAACAAAGGAAATTTTGGCTAACTTAAAAAAAAGAAAACAGTTAAGCCAATATATTAATTTTGTTCCTTCCAGCCACTCAAATTGTATGAGTAGTTAAGAAGAGAAACTAAAAAAAAAAAAAAAATTACTACTTTTCTGCTTGCTTAATTATGCTCAAGTTTCCTTGCTTGATTACACTCACATTCAAAGCAATTTTGTTCATTTTATGAAAAGTGAATTCTAATTTTCCTGCATTGTTTAGTTAAAATAGTCTACTATGTGAGCTTCTTATTAATTCCTTCTATGACAATGCTTTTCTTTAATAAACACTATAACTGTTCCATAGAGTTTTCGCTAACTTGTTTTACTATCACTATTTTCAATAGCAATTTCATTTAATTAGCTTTTTAAAAAAGTATCACTGTCCAAGGTTACAAGTGTGTAATTTGCCCTACTGGAAAAACAAAACCTATATTAGCATGAATCTTTTATAGAGGAAGATTATCATAGAAGCCTCTGGGTACCCATTCATGTCAAAGAGTTTCCAGATTACTGATAGAGCTTTGAATCTTATGTCTCTTTATTTTAATGACTACAGCTGTTATTTAATGAATTTTGGAAAGTTGAAAACAAAACCTCACAACAAAAAAAAAAAATACCTATTTCAGGAAAATGCAGAATTTATCACGTGCTCAATAGGCTTATCTTCTCCAGGTATTGGTTACCTAGAAACGGAATATTTTAGGATTCAAAAGAAAAATTAACATTTAAATAATGTATTACCTTAGGAAACTCTTCTTTGCATGATGTTAAAAATTTAACATTATTACACACAGGTACATAACATGTTTTCTCTTTATAAAAATCAACAGATTGTATAGGAATTTGGGGCATAGCTCACATTAAAATCTCATTGAAACTTTCTATTCCCTTTCTTTCTTGTTGGCACTATTGTACCTTCATTTTCTTGCCAAATGTGTTGTTTCATTTACTACCTCAGCTCTCACATCCTTAAAAGGATGGGTTCCTAAAGTCTGCTATTCATCCCCCCTGCCTTTTTTTTTTTTTTTTCGTCCTCTTTCCTTTCTGTTAAGTTTCTTTCCCCTTTCTTGCAGAGGTTTAGCAAATTTCTTACAAAGATTGGCTTCAGCCCCATATTTCCATGGTGTGAGCTCCTAATTTAAGAGCAACTTCTGGGCCAGACTATCAGGACATCCCTCCATCCTCTCAGAATCAATCTATCCACAGCCAGTTCTTATTCATTTACATTGTGGTGACAAAGATGTCAGTTACGCCATGGCTCGCATGCTGTCACTACAGAAATCAGCGCAAACAGCTGTGAAAGTGAATGCCAGTTATGGACGTGAGCATCATATTTACGAGGAGAAAAACGGAGTGTGGCTATCATACTAGAGGAATAAGGGAACACAGGCAGTGTTTAGCATATTAGGATGGTTCCCCAGGTATAAAGTGATTAAGGCCTGCAATAAAAAGATAATTTTGACTCTAGTAATAAGTGAATAAATTAAGTGAGGAAGAACATCAGCAAAATGTCAGAGAATTATCTTTGATGTCAGATCATTTTCTTTGAGCTGAACTGAGTTACCCCCAAAATTCACATGCTGAAGCCCTCATATCTAGTATCTCCAAATGCAACTATAATTGGAGATAGAGCCTTTTAAGAAATGATTATTTTAAAATGAGGCCCTTAGGGCGGTTCCTAATCCAATTTGACTTGTAGTAAGAACTGAAAATTTGATACAAAGAGATACCAGGGATGAACAATCCCAGAAGATAAGCCATGTGAGGATGCAATAAGATGACCATTTACAAACAGAGAGAAAGGCCTAAGAAGAAACCAGGCCAGCCATCACTCTGAGCTGTTGCTTCAATGTCCCATTTTTTGCTACTTTGTTAAGGCAACCCTAGCAGACTAATAATACCCATAGAAAAATCAAAGGAGATGAACAGTACAACACATTGAGTCCATTACATAGGACCCTGTAGTTTAAATCACAGAAAGGGCGTAATAGGAATTAAAGCAGAACATTGCAGTCTATTTTTAATAATTTCTGTTGTTAATATTAAATTAGTCCTTCAAATAGTATCACAAATAATAATAAAACTCTATGTATAAAAAATAAATAGCACACTACATTGTTTCCTTCTTAAATGTCCCTCTCTATATTTTCTTATTCTCTCATGCCCCATATTCTTAAGAGTGTTTTTCTAAGTTTTAACAAAATACATGATAATTTTACATAGTTATGAGCTACAGTGTGATGATTTGATACTTATATATAATTTATAACGATCAAATCAAGATGCTTAGGAATTCCATCTCCTGAAACATTTATAATTCTCTTGTACTGGGAACATTTAAACTCTTCTAGTTCCTCATGAAACATAATAAATTGTTGTAAACTAGAGTCATCCCATGCTGCAAAGCACTAGAACTTATTCCTCCTGTCTACCCCTGTACTCAAACCAGTTTCTGATTACATAACTGTCCTAGCAGGACCCATCTGTATCTTCAGTGCTCAGGGCACTAAGATTCAATAATGGGACCAGTTCTGAGGATGGAGGATGATGTTCAATTCAACTGGTTTCTTTTCCCTACCTTCACTATATGTCATGGTTGATTTAAATGGTCAACTTGATTGGATAAAGAGATGCTGAAGAGGCTTCTGGGTGTGTCAGTGAGAGTGTGTCTAGGAATGATTGGCATGTGGGAGAGTGAATTGAAGTGAAGACCCTCCCTAAGAGGGGGAAGCACCATCCAATAACCTTGGAGGCTTGGATGAGAATGAAAGTTGAAAGAACAGGGAAGCTGCAGCAGATGCAAGCTAGATGCTTCTTGAATGGGGTCTTGATTGTTGCTGCAATTGCCTGAGGATGTCAGACTCTCACTCCTTCAATCTTCCAAAGTGGACTCTGCCAGTGATTCTCCAGGGAATCTCCAGAAGCCTTCAGTCTTGGACTAGGATAGCAACATTGATCCCTCTGGTTCTGAGGCTTCAGCATCTTGGACTGTGCTGCTACTGTTTCCTCCAGCTCTCCAGCCTACAGATGGCCATTGCGTACTACCAGCTTCTGGTTGTGTGAGCCAATCTAATAAATTCCCTTTTTATTATCATACTTCCTGTTGATTCTGTTCCTCTAGAGAACCATGACTAATACACCATTTTAACAAATTTCATCTAACAGAGATAAACACCACCTAATTGTTAATGCCAGTAGGCCTCATTTAATCTATTTCTCATTTAATTTAAGGTACATGGGCAATTCATTACTATTCCTCTATTTGTTGTTCTTTTCAACCCCTTAGAGAATAATATGTCTTCTTTTCTTGGTTCTTCTACCCCTCTGACTTACCAGATTATGCCCCCTTTCTGAACTTTCTTCCACCTGTATTTTACACACATTGATCTTATCATACAGTCTGATCCTCAAACCAGTGCTTTTCTTAATCTAACTATCCCCTTGGATTTTCCCACATATTCTTGTAGTTTTAAGATAAATGTATGCCTCTTGCCCCCTTTTCCTTCCTGATCTATGCCAATATACAGTTCTAGCATCTTCCCAGAAAAGCAGGCTTATAATACAAATCTCTGCTGGACAACTCCTCCTGAATGTGCCTGTTGCATTTGGGGCACATAGGCATGTATCTTTTAATACATGTATCTTAAATGAAGCCACTACCATCTGCAAAATTATTCAGCTTAATACCTTGCAGTGAGCCCATGTACAACCACTGAGTCATAAAACCTGAAAAATTCATCTAATATTCTTAAATGTGGTATTGTTTGCTTTTGCTCAATTGCTACTCTTGAAAGTCTTGGAGATCTATTGCCCAGACTAATGCAACAACCCCTTAACTGGTTTCTCTAATTCTTATCTTGGTCTTTTACATTCATCTTCTGTACTGTTATAAGTAAGATAATGAAAATATCAATCTGACCACGACATACCTCTGTTGAAAGCTTCTGGACATTCTTACCCCAAAAGATACAAGCACATAAAAACATAACACAATGCATGCACTTCCTATTATGATGGCTTAAAAGATCATACTAAAGAAGGACCTTAAATATTTCTTCAGCCTGAGTTAACACTAAATTTGTGGAAGTTCTCCTGATCTTTTGAGGCTGTTTCATTTCTCTGACTTTGGGCACTCTGCTTTCTCTGTCATGAAGTCCTTCTCCATCTCAGACTAACTGCTTTCCTGTAAGGGCTTTTGATTTTCTTTTCCCAGATTTCTTCAGAGACACATTCTTGATGGATCAGGTGACATTCATATGTGCCATAGAATAGTCTTACCAAATTCAGTATATTGGAATAACATGCTAGTTTTTAGATAAGGGGTATTTTATTTCAAATTCTCTATACCTACCATGGAGTATTTGTACATGGTAATCTGAATTCATTCTGTATCAGTTATCAGAAATTATGTATTCATTGTATTATGAAGGCATATATTTTGGATTTCTATATTTTAAAATGAATTACTTACCATATTTATGGGGTCAACTGGTCCAATGCTGTTTACATAAACATCAGTTTCTATTACTGTGGGCCTCACTGCAAAACATCAATAAAGAGAATATTATCAGAAATTATCTTAAAGAAATCATAGTTTTAAATCAATCTTAATAACTCGTTTTTATTATTTCAATCATAAAATATTCCTCATGATGAAATGTAGACACATTCTCTATTTCAAAAACATAAAATTTTTCAGTTGAAAACTTAATGATTTATCTAAAAAAGTATGTTTTAACTAAAAAATTCCCCTATGAAAATATTTAAATATAAAATATCTAAACCAATAACCTAAGATAAAGTTTCTAGTGTAAAACATAATTATATATTTAGAGCTACCTAAGATAAGAAAGCTAATTCACTAAAATATTTGCTAAATAATTAACTTGGAGAATTTTGAATTAGGAGGTATGCTAGAACCTAAATAGTATATAACTCTCCTTATTGCCTAAATGTTTAACAAACTTGCTCACAGAGAGGTGAAAAAAACGCACTAATTTGTAGTTTTTGCTGATTTCAAAGTTGCAAATACTCCCTCAATGCCTGATTAAAAATATCAATATGAAATCATGGAATTCAGAGCTAGAATAATATATGATTACATGTTTATTGTGAACCAGCAAGAACCAGTTCTAGCACACACTGGAATTTGTAATATAGCTATTAGGATTAAAGGACATAATGTCTGTAAAGAAATCACCTCCAGGTCTAACTCATATGATCTTAATAAATATTTATGCATACCCCCTTCCTCCCTCCCTTATTAGCAACATTCTTTTAGATTGGTGATAGCAAATTCCAAGGTTCCAATGTAAGACACCTATTTACTTAATTCTCAGTTATTGTACAGGCATTCCTATTGACCTTATCTATTGTGCATTGTATGTAACCATTAGTATTTTTCCACTTAGTCTTTAAAAGGTACATTCAATACGTTTATATTATATCAAAATGTGTGCAACTCTTCAGCTTTGTGAACATTTACCAAATGATGTAATTAACAAATATCCATAGCAGTGCCTTATTTGATGGTGCTCTAGACTTCTTGATCCCTTTTGGGATTTCCTTCAATGAGATTTTTGGGTTCTGTTTTGGTTTACATGTGAGGTGTCCTCCAAAGATTCATGTGTGAGACAATGCAAGAAAGTTCAGAGATGAAATGATTGAGTTATGAAACTCTAAACCTAATCAGTGCATTAATCCATTGAAATGGATTAACTGAGTAGTAATAATAGGTAGAATGTGGTTGGAAGAGGGGTAAGTCACTGGGGGCCTGCATTTGGGGTATATGTCTTGTCTCTGGTGAGCAGAGTGCTCTCTCTCTCTCTCTCTCTCTCTCCTTTCTTGTTGCCACATCTAGAACTGTCTTCCTCTGCCATGCCCTTTGGTCTTGATGTTCTGCCCCACCTTGAGCACAGAGCAATGCAGTTAACCATCTATCCACTGAGACCTCTGAAACCATGAGCCCCAAATAAACATTTCTTCCTTTACATTGCTCTTTTTAGGTCTTTTATTCACAGTACTGAAAAAGCTGACTAAAACAGATTGCTTTAATGAAATTTACCTGAGTAATGGTGATTTATACCCATATATTTTTCTGTTTGCTATGAAAAACATTTTCACATAATTTCTATTACTTCCTTGAGGATCACCACCCAATAAGATACCAAGGATTCATTTTCTAATTCAGAAAATGCTTGTTAAGGAAGGATATAAAGCATTTACAAGGTGAACCACAAGAAGACAAGCATTTCAAGAAGATAATCTGTCACATATTTCACAAAGAATTTTATAAAGAGAAAGGTAAATGAGATAAAGCAAAAAAAAAAAATTACCTTGGAGGTTCAAATTTTCTGGTATTACAGCAGAGTTTTAATTACATTTGTTCAATTCCCCTTGCTGAATTGTCTGTATTCCCTTTTTGGTCTAGTATTTATCACTCATAATTCAGAGGTTGCAAATGACCTGGCAGGATATATCTCCACCTTTAATACATGGCCCAATCTGCCTGTCTGAATGTTTCTGCAGCCCTATTCTCTCTATTGGTTATTTTCCAATCTGGCACAGTTTCTAAGCTACCAAAGCTCCATGGTAAAAAGACATTTTGCAAAATAGTACTTACATGGCTTTAAAACAATATTTATTTTTACCCCTTGCAATAAAAAAAAAACACTTCTTTTAAGAAAACATACATTACATAATGACTTTTTTTCCCTCAGACAAAAAAAAAACTTACATGTTATACATATTTTATTAACTAGAAATGTGTTTTTAAAAATCTTTTTAAAAACAGTTTCAGTATGTGAAACTAAGCTTTCATACTTTTACACTAAATGAAAAGGTAACTCACCCTGCTAGTCAACCCTTAGATGATGTAAATAAAAGGATTTTATAATTTAACTTAGGTTGATGATATTTTCTGAGATGAGTTGTTTTAATTGTTTGCCACTTTTTTTCTGACAAGTTATACATTGTGGCCAATTAATATCTGTAATTAAGCTAATTTCAGCTACTGGTTTTTCCAAAAGCCAATTAAAAATACTAAAATAGGTATTTTAATTTCGATTACATAAAGCAATTATAACTGATGTAAGCGCATACCATTCTTACATAGACTTTTTTTCAAGTATACTGATGAATCAACAATATTAAGTTCCTGATTTTATTGCTCAATACTCAGGGCTGAATATTGTTTACATTGAGAAATAAATGATTCTTGAGGAAATTTTTAGTTAAAGGATGTATTTGTCATATTTACAGTGCAGAAAGTTTGGTAGGAGAGTTACCCTACTTCCTGGATATCAAAATCTCCCAGCCAACTATAGGATGAAGCTATATATATCAGAAAACCCTTAATTCTGGCCTTAATATATGAGCTACTTAGCAATGGGGATATAATCAACATGAAGCAACTGCACCTGAGCTGGGACAGTAAGTTCAAGGTCGAACACTGCTATCAATAAAGAAGACACTCAATTAGCAGTCATTAAATAAATATATGTTTGCAAAGTATGAATTATGTTGTTATTTTGTAACCTATTTTGTAATTTTATGCTGCTGGCCTTTGATCTATGTTTTAATCTGCATGCCCAAAAGTTGAGGAAGAATAAAGTTGAAAGTAAAACAAAATATCCCAGATTAATTTTGAAACTATTGCTGGTGATTTTATGTGACAAAATATATAATTAAGAGAAAACTAAAAGAAATTTGTAACTGTTCCTTAATAATGAGTCGTTTTCACTTTGATTGACTAAGGGTATGAATAATACTGTGGGTAAAACTAAAATTAAAGCTTCTTAAAAGGTGAGAAGATACCTTTTCTCAGTACTATGATTTTTTTTTTTTTTTAGTATAAAGTTTGTTCAACTGCAGGATCTTCATGATGTTCAAAAAGGAAAAACACAATATTTTAATTCAAAACTTGAAAAACGCAACTGAAAAGGAATTGTCATTTTAGGACTATTTAATGATGTCTTGAAAGTAGACACAGACTATGTTTAATTCATCAATACACACTAAGATCAAAGATCTTTCTTTGCAGTAGTGTAACAATGAGTCAGAAACCCATGTACTGCTACAGCAAATTACATTTTTTTAATATATAGAAGGCAGATAGAGATGACATTAGATCATTTTTGTAAAACCTCTTTCTGTGCTGTGATTTAAGTACTTTGCTTTAAGAACACCAGCAGAATGTAAGTAGATAAACTCCCAGAGGGAGTGAGTAGATAGAAATAATAGAGTCACAGTAACTTGAGCATCCACAGAATAGGAAGAGAAAGAAAAACTTTAATATATTAAAGAAGAAAACAGTGAGACCAATAAAATTTCCATATTTGGTTAGTCCATAACTAAGGCACAACTGAGGACAACCAATCCTTCATGAGGATAATTAGTTTATCAATAAGAAAATATAAACCAAAATACAATATTTTATTTTTTTTCCTCAATCAATTTAAGCATGTTTTCTTAGTCACCCTTCTACAACCTTTTAAAGAAATTTCCAGCCAGTTATATAGCTTTTTGGTAATGTTTACTTATTAAAATAAGTAAGGTCAATTAAAATTTCTAATCATAAGGAACAGTTTTACAGTTTTTATTTCTTATCATCCAAGAATAGTCATTAAAAATAAGTAAATAAATAGCTCCACTAATCTAGATATTATAGATATTATAGTTACTCCTTCAATGTATGTTATTTCATTTAACTGATATATTGACAGAGATTAATTAATATCTTTCAGTTCTTAAAACGTCTCAGTCTGATTTAGTTATCAGAATTATATTGAGTGAATTATACTGGCTTGGTGAAATGAGTTGGGAATCTCTATTTTTCCATTTACTAAAAGTTATTTTATTAAGATTTATATTACTTCTTTCTTACATATCTGATAAAATTCACTACTGGAGAGAAAAAAAAAATGACTATTTCTGACCTGGATCCTTAGCCTTGAAATACATTATTGGGACAAGTGAAAATTGAACATGAGTATTCAATGGTAGTAAATATATCAATATCATCTTTCTGGTTTTGATGGTTGTACCACACTTATATGAGGTTAAAATAATCAAATTTAAAATAGAAATCAATAACAATAAAATCTATCTTGAAAATTCCCCCAAATATTTATAAATCAAGCAATATTTAAAAATAATCGATGAAGCAGAAAGAAATTTAAGGAAATTTTTTTTCACAAAATATGAAAGAATGAAAGACAATTTATGAGTTAGTGAAATTGACCAAAAAATTCAAAAACATTAAAATAAATCTTTATTTGCTTAAAGAAAAACCTGTGTTTATTAAGGAGATTGAATTTATAACCAAACATCTTCCAACAAAGAAAATCCAGAACAACATCACAGTTTACAATCATCTCACTAGAATGAGAGAAAAACTGGATAAGAGCTGGAAGGAAACAATAAGGAATTTAGTTCAACATTCAACATGCAACTTCCCCTGAGGGTATTTGCTAATTCCTGCAGTGTTCATGTGTATGATGTGATGCTGACAAACCAAATATAAACGGTGTCTAAGCATT